GCCCTCTGCCAAGCCCAACACCCCTGCACTAACCAGAAATATTTCCCAAGAGAGTAACAAAGCTACTCATTGAATCCTGCCAGGATATTGTGAACGGGCTAGTATACAGATTATAAAATGCCTTGTCCAATTGAATGTAAGCATGTGATTCTTTCAAACAGACCTTTGAAGTAGGGTACTTGTTGAAGACTCTGAAAATGGCCAATTCAGCTGCAACAGTCTTTCCTGATCCAGTGGGTGCTCCGAGCAGGACATTGCAGTCTGTGTGATACAGTGTATGAAATATTTGTGTCTGCACAGGGTTAAAGTGGCTAAAGTTGTAAAGGGCTTCATATGCTTCACACCCCAAAGCTGTGATTGGTAAAGGCTGAAGATCCAATAACTCTGAAAAGGCGAAAGATACATCAGGTACTGTTAAACAAATAACTGGAAAATATGCACAATACTGCATACTGTATCTTAGTAATAAATTAGAACAAACCTTAATTCTTTAGAGGGGGAAAAAAGTTTAACATAGATTCTTATATGATAGTCGCAGATCTTTTTTCCCCATTACCACATTTATAATGTTGACCCACTGGACAATTTTTGGAGGAGTTCCCCATAAGCCAACTACAATGCCATATTTCTTTTCTAATCAGGGAAGTAATCTGAATGACAGGCGTATAAAAGCATGCATGTTATAAAAAAAACCTAAATCTCCAATTTGTAGAGAAATGAGAGCCATTCACAAACTTCAGTACTAGAATAGTTACTATAACAAATTACTTTTGATCTGTTAGACAACTGACAAAACTAGAGTGGTCAAGTGAACTGCTGGTTTAGCCAATGGAAACCAAAATGGACCTGAGTTATTCTAAGTTGGATTTTGATTCAGATTCAGCTTTAAAGCATAGACACTTTCCAACATTAACGAAAGCATTAATTTTGGAACATCAACGATTCAAACTACTATTCAATATGTTACCTGTATGGGGAGGATGTCTTTCTGGCAGAATCAGGTGTTGGAAGTTGATAATACACACAGCCTCGGCTCCTAACCATCTATCAGACACGGCTCGGATGTAGTATTGGGAAGGCAAAGGTTCAAAAATAGGGATTGTAAATACCAGTAGTTGAGCTTCTTTACTAATGACCTAATGTGAAATAAAGTCTAAAATGAATATGGATAGTCTAATATCAGAAAGGTCTTATTAATCTATTGTAAAAATAATGGTATCTACAATAATATGCACTAGAGATAAAGAAAACATCTTGGATTTCTAAATCGCTGATATATTCAAGTACTTCAGAAAGTTGTGGTTGGTTCCCTTCTTAAGACACCTGATATAACAGAAGGTAACAGTTAATACTCAATTTACATTATTTACAATGCAGAGCATCATGAATTAACAAGTTATCAATTCGACTTTTTATCAGAATTTCCCAAACTTTATTCGTTCAATTACTTAACTGCATGATTATTATTTAATATTTTTCTTCAAATTTGATCACTTACTTAAGTGGAAAAATAGAACCACTCGGAATAGAAGGTAATTATGAAGACAAATGCAATAAAAACAAACACTGCTATGAAATTCTATTGCTGCTCCCAGCCTGAAGCCTGCTTTCTCTTTGGTAAAAAGAGAAATTAGGAATGAAGCGTCAGAGTCAGACATGCCAGCATCAAATTAGGTCTTTCATTTGGAATTTATGGAGAATTTTAAAAGGAATGCCATATCTGATGATTATTGTTTTGTTAATTATATGTGGAAAGTGAGAGTTGTGAAATGTTAATTTGAAACTTACCTTTTCTAAGGCAGTGATTAGACGGACCCATTTAAGAATCTCACTCTACTATGTGTCTCTTGCCTTTTTCGGCTTTCATTCCCCCCCCTTTTTTCCTATCCTTTTTGCCACTGTATTTACTTAAATCAGGCTGTGCTTTGTGTTCAAATTTTTAAAAAAATCACAATGTGATTTAATACTATGTAGTACAGTGTTTATGTATCACCTAAAGTTCTTATTTCTTATTAATTTATTTTTATATATTTTATCCCACCTATTTTACATATTCCACCCTCTGAAAGCCATGCCTTAAACCATGATAATGAGTATAATTCAATTTCTCAAACTAAGAGCACATTGGATATATCATACTGTGACATTTACTGTTTTCTTTTAAAACTACTCAAACATAAAAAAAAGCATTAATGACACTAGAAGTTATAGAAAGATAAGTAAAAGCAGAAATTGTTAGTTTATATTTTCCATTTATGATAGCAACATAATAAGGATTGAGCCATACACAGATATTTACCTGTTTTTTAAGAACTAGAAAATACTCTGAATGATAAATATGATCATTTGTAGGATCTTCTACCCAAATCCACCAGGGTTCTCCTACTGTCCCATGGACCTAGAAGAGAAATAGTATCCTTATACTATGTGTATTATAACTCGAATGAGGAATATAGCGTTGTTTATATAACCAGTACACATTGTTTTTAACAGCTTTATTGATACATATCAAAGTTTACATTTAAAATAGAGTTCAATGGTTTTAATATATTTACAGAGTTGTACAATCACCTCTATAATCTAATTTTAGAACATTTTCATCACTCTAAAAAGAAAACTTGTATGCATTAGCAGTCACTACTTATCTCTCTCTATTCCATAACCTCCAACCCTTGACAACCACAATCTACTTTCTTTCTCTATAGATCTGCCTATTCTGGACATCTCATATAAATGGAATAATTTAATATGTGGTCATTTGTGTCTGGCTTCTTTCACTTACTATAATGTTTTCAAGGTCATTCATATTAGAGTATACATTAGTACTTCATTTCTTTTTATAGACAAATCATATTCCGTTGGATAGATACCATCTTTTGTATATTCATTCCTTTTTCTTTTCTTTTTTTCCCCCTAAAAAAATCCAGTTTTATTCAGTATTCATCTCTTTCAAGTGACTCAGGAGATGACCTCATTTCCTGCAAAAATTTTGATTAGCATAAGCCAATCAACTTATGGCATCTCCCCCCTTACAATAGGTTGTGGTAAAGGGCAGGCTCATGACCAATACCGGCCAAATTAGACTAATGGAAAGGTCTTACAGTCCATGCTCTGGGCTGGTGCAGTGGGGTGTTTCCTTCCTTCTTTAAATGTGAAAAAAGAAGCATGAAAACGTGATCCAGCTAAGTGGTTCTGTTGGTTGGAGTACCATCCCATATTCCAAACAGGTTGTGGGTTGGATTCCTAGTTCAGGCACATACCTAGGTTGTAGGTTCAATCCCTGGTTGGGGCATGTACGGAGGTAACCAATTGATGTTTCTCTCTCTCTCATCCTCTCTCTAAAATCAATAAGCATCCTCAGGTTAGGATAAAAAAATTATAAAAAAATAAAAATAAGCATGAAAACATTTGGGAAGTAGGTAAGTGTCAGCAGAGCAGAAGGATGTAAAGATCCTAAGCCCTGAACGATATGATATTAATATATTATACCACATGTGTTTCTTGAGGATGAGAGTAAATATTACTACAATGTTTTAAATGAATCTTTAATATATATTTTTTGAGAGAATTTTCTAAATGCCTAAGGACAGATGTAAGGAGGTATAGTGGAATGTGAAGCAGAGACATTTTTGCTTAACAATGAGATAGGTATTTTCCACTCTACCTGATCATTCCAACTGAAATCAGCACAGACACTGAGAGTCACTCGAAGCACAGTCCGTGTGATGGGCTGAATGGAAGCTTCCATTGTAACAGAAGGAATCTGATGAACACATTGTTTGACCTTGAGTCCAATATTCACATGGTGCAGCATGTGACCTGCAAGGAAAACATCACATAGAAGAAATGTGTCCAAACAGAATAAAAGCAATATAATCTGACTTGTAAATGGGATTTCAGAGAAGGTGATTTTATTGCTTGTTTTATAATTTGCTATGTAGAATAGTTGACATTCTTGACCTGGCATGTTTGAATATTTTGTAATAGTTAACTTGAATTAGCAATTCATAGCTCTGAAAACCAGTATCAAGGTTTCTTCAGCTATGAATAGGGTTCTTAAAATTACTGAGACTTAATAGTGTTCAAACTGCTATAAATAGTTCCTCATTTCTTCTAGTTAGTTTATGACACATTATAAAAATATTTAGTGTTTTTTTGAAACAGCCATTAATTTATTCAAAGTGTATTTCAGAACTCTATACCCATGATAGTAAATGCTTTAATAATAAAACACAACTCATCCATCCCTATCTATTTCCAGAAAAACATAAAGATAAAATATTAAATATGGTCAATCTAGCACAAAATCAACCACTTTAGCCACTTACACATATTTTTATAAATGATCAGATTCCAAAATACAGATATGTATGCCAGTCCCAAGGTGGGCAGGGGAGTTAGAGACAGATGTCACTTACTATAAACATTTTCCTACTCCAGTTCAGGCAACTAAGTGGAAATAGGTTATATATATATATTTAAAAATTTTCAATTACAGTTTATTAATATTAAATAATGTTAAATTATTTTATATTAGCTTATTGTATCAGTCTTTCTTGGTTCTTCATAATATAACTGTAAAAGAATATTTATAAATAAATCAAATGTTTTATGTTTATCCAAATTTGAAAGTAAAGTGATCTTCCTTATTTTGATAAAATATTTACATATGATACCCCAATGTGAATACTCTCAAATTTCCTAGTTAATATCCTTAATTTCTCTATTTAAATTGATACTTCCCTTCTGTCTTCAAAGTACTATTCTTACTACTTCTTACTCTTCTTACTACTATCTCAGCCTCTCTTCACATCTCTGGACCTTTTGCAGCAGCAATCCTCCCTCTTATTTTTATTCAGTCTGACTCTCTTCATGTGTAGTATCTACACATTTAGAATCTGAAATACTACCTAATCAATGTGTTATATGTTTGTCCAATAAAATGTCAAGGTGCATGGAAATGTATATAGGAATAATTTTTCAGTATTATGTGATAAAAAGCAGAAGGCCAAGTGCTATTTGGTCTGATAACACTGGTAACAATTGGGTTTAAAGATATGTATGTGTGTAATGATGAAGTTCATTTAGAAATGCTGAAGAAATGTAGACATAATTTTTTTCATATAAAACTATTAATATACATAAGAAAAGAGTATAGAATGAATTAAATATTAAGAAATAAATTGAGGATAAGCCTCACTGACAAACTCTCATCATTTATAGCTGAGATTCTATTTGTAAAAGACTCAATTTAAGGGTGTGATGATCTAAACTCCATTTTTTTCTTTTTTAAATCCTCATCAGAGGATATTTTTTCCACTCCCTCTCTGAAAGAGAGTAGAAGGGAGACACACAGAGAGAGAAACACCCATGTGAGAGAGACACATAGATTGGTTGCCTTCTGCACACTTCTGACTGGGGCCAGAGATCGAGCCTGCAACCGAGGTATGTGTCCTTAGCTGGAATCAAACCCGGGACCCTTCAGTCTGTAGGCCAACACTCTAACCACTGAGCAAAACCAGCGAGGGCTAACCTCCATTTTAACTGCTAATTCTTTCAAGTGACATCATAAAATTTGGAGGAACTTCTGCTAGAATTCAGATAAATAAAAAAGAAATTTCATAAAAATGATAAAAATTTATCTTGAGTAATATGAAAATTCACATTACTTAATATTTGATATGCACAGAACACATTAAAACATTTTTGCTTCCTTCTTACCTATTTCATCTTTCCTCATGTCTTTCAGCTTATCAACAGTAAGCTTTTTTTCTTCTAATCTTGTTAGAATGTGTGGTGGTAAGACTGAAAACTGTCTCAAAGGGCTGGCCCAACCCCAGAGCCTCTTGTCGATGACTTTACTAAGATTCAGGAGCTTGTAGGTCATGGCAGGCCAACGTTTCCTCAGAGCAATTTCAAAAAGAGCACGGACAATTCTAGCAGCGTTCTGAAGAATAAAAAGGGGGAGGCTGATGGTGAGGTAGCATGGACTTATAAACCTGCCAATACATTTGTCATTCAGACTCAGTTTAAAAAGGAGTATGTCAAGCTGCATCCTCTAACTGTGGGCAGCATCTATTCTTATATACACCTAATTATCTGTGCTATTTCTACACAAGAACCGCCTCCTTTGTATGCATGTGGACGTTACCCGTTTAACATTCAGAGGGTAGCCTTACTTCCAGTTCTTAGGAAGCTCCAGCCCACCCTCCAAACAGGAATGAAAGGGGGGGAAGGCGAGTACAGCACAGCGAGGAGACTCCTGAGAACACCAGAGCCTCGCATAGTGAGGTGATTAAATCTACCAGGCCATTCAGAGACAGGGGAAGACGCAGGCACAGATGGAGGAAAATCAGTGCGAGGGGGCAACAGAGGAAATGCTGATGAGTGCAGATACCCAGATTGATGACTCCCTATAAGCTAAGCAATATGTTAACAGCTTTACATATATTATCTCCTTTGCTCTTTATAACATCTGCATGGGACCGGTCCTGATATTGATTTTATAGATAAAGATGCTAAGGGCTTGGTGAGGTTAATAATTTGGCCAAGGTCACACAAATAGTAGGCTTCAGAGTATCTATTCAAAGCCACGTCTAAACAATTCCAAACTTAGCTCCAAGATTCTGAATTCAGTGGTCTGAGAAGAACTTCATTAATAGACATATGAAAGTTACAGTGACTGAAGACTTTTTGTCCCATTTGTACAGTTGGTTTCCATTTGTTTCACTTCCTTCCCTCTATCATTAACTTTGCAGATTTTTTATTGATGACTGTTTTTAAAATCATGAACTTGGAGACACCTTACAAAATCTAATGATATCTGTATTTGAAAATGAAGAATGTTAAATCTGGTCAAAATCAGAAAAAAAGATTAAAAAGTAAAGACTTTAAATAGCAAGCAGATGATATGGCTTTAAATTATGATCATAAGAGTTCTGGACTTTAGTTTTTCATATTATATGAAATGTGTATTTATCTTTTGACAAATCAACTATTTTGTTTCAGTATTAGAGACTTAAGAACAGAAATGGTATTTAGAACTGTGAGGACAGTTCTGATGTCCATTAATAATGAGAGGATAGCTCTTACTATGCCTAGAGAAAGATAAATAAAATGAACACTTTGATTACTGTGCCTATCAAATAGGTCTTTTATCATTATTTCCAGTTACTCTTATAAAAAACTGCCAGGCTAATTTTCCACTGTGTTTGGAAATATATAATTAAAAAAAAATTTTTCAGAACCCACAGTTGTTTCCTCAAAGCTAAAAGAAAACAGGGAATCTGTAATAGTTTCAACAATAAAAAGAAATATATAAAAAAAGAAAGAAATGGAAGAAGAAATCCCATGTACAAGATACAAACGACATTTTATCTGAAATGATATAAACTGCGTGGGAATAATGACCAAAGTCTTTGACACGTACAGTTTAGAAAAGCTGAATCTAGGCTTCTTTATAAAATCACAGGATAGCTGAGCCAAGGATTTAGCATAGGGGCTGACAGAATAAAGTTTCAGAAATAGAGAAGGAAACATCATTTGACAGAGCTGAGAGAGTGCTTGTGGAACTATTGATGGCCTAAACTTAACTATAATAAACTCAACAGTAATTTACCTAATGCATTCAAGGATGATAAACCCATAATAGCTATTTCAGAAAAATAGGGATGCTTTAGGTATATTCTTAATGTTCTGATATTGACTTTCTGGGCACCAATCATGAAGAAACAGTAAACATTATATTGTAAAGCAATTTGTTTACCAGTCTCTGATAATATCTTTGTAATCTTCAATCAAGCAAAAATGTGGCCAGATTATTCACCTAGAACCTAGTAAAGCTTTACATTTTAGTTAAATCATTAACTATTTCAATATAAAATCATTAAGAAATACAAAATAAAAATACATTTTTCAGAAAAACAGATAAACAAAAGAAGTTAGAAACAATGGAGCTTATAGAATCTATAGGGTTTAGAAAACATACATAATTTTTCTACGGCAGAAACATCTTATCCAAGATGCAAATAAATAAATAAATAAAGCTTCTGTAACATTCACATTTACTTTATGCAGTACGAAATCATCACCTGATGTCTTAGTTACACTGATTAAGTTACTGAATTCATTCAAATTGTTTGCCAATATATCTTGGTTCATGCTTGTAAATATTTCATGTTTACAGTTATATCAATAAAAAAATAATAAAATGGTAAAATGATATTCTTTTAAAGTAGAGAATATATATAGGTGCGAGGGCGGACACTCTAACCACAAGGTGACACAGGCCAAGGCCGAAAGAATGTTTTTTTAAACAACTTATGTCTGTAAAGAAAACCTCTCATTTGAATGGTAAATAATTCATAAAATAACCTACTTTACTTCACTTGGGGCTTGAATATAAAAATATAAATATTACAACATTTTATACTACGGTATTTTTTAAAATATCAACAGCAGGGAAGGAAAGTTCTTTTTTTAATCAGAGACTTATCATACTAAATATATGGTGTGAGGTATACATATAAAGCCTTATTTAATGGTAAAAAATTTGTTTATATTTCTAACATTTGGGGAAAGCTGCAATGGTTCCACAATCTTTTCTTTATGATGGAAATATTCTGTATTCCTGCCCTTTGTAAGTAAAAGAAATGAACTTTATCATTTATAGCAAAATAAATGAAATCTTGATATTTTTAGACTCTAAAATAAAAAGCCAAACTCACCATCAAATTCCACCCCCATTCCTGATCTAATGCATGGATGGCATAAAATATGAACAAATTAAACAGAACCAGTTCTAAGATAAAATAGTAATGTGGAATTATGTCACAAAGCAATATATTCACAGTATAGTATGAATTAATTCCTTGAATCTCTGAAAGTAAACGAGGGAGGAAAAAGGGAAGAGAGTAATCTTCTTACCTGTGCAACATACGCAGAATCTGATATAAGGGAGAAACTGTCCATTTCACCTCGGCTGATGTAAGTTTGAAGTAGGATATTTATTTTCCCGTAACTATTCTCTACACCTCCAGGGGCTGAGAGTTCACAAAAATTGTTTAATAAGGCATCTAACTCCTCTATTTCCTCTTCTCTGACCTGGAAGAATCAATGTTTTCACAGAATTATTTGGGCTGGTTTACTGAAATTATTCATATTGAAATTAAACCACATTGCGGGTTTTCAAAAGGTTTCCATTTGCTATAATTCAACATTTTCCTTTGTCTGCTAAAGTAACAGTAATTTTTTCCCACAAGTAGCTAATAACATACAATAAGAAATTATCTTGAGGCTGATACAGTTACATTTTATTATTCATCACCAATATTAAAATTGCCATTGACATATAAAAATTTGATATGCCACAAAAATTAGATCTCCTGACCTCACCATCCTTCAAATGATGAGATTTCATTTTTTATTTGACCAGAGTAAAACCTTTGCCCAAATGGATTAGGGCAAACTTGAATTATCTTTGAATGCATTCATTACAGAATGTGGTGTAACACATTCATAGCTTAAAGCTGTGAAGTACTATGATTCAAAGTATTAAAGTTTTCACTGTTAATAAGATTAAATTATAATGCAGGCACAGAAATATCTGTATTTAAGTCTCGATCATGCATGTCCTTCCTATTTTCTTTTGTGAATTTTATATTGCAAACAAACCAAAAAGCTACATACTATATTCTCTGCCTATTTCATTATTGCAAAACCCACTTAAATTATATTTGATTTGCAGGAGAGAGCAAAGAATGATGATGTCAGGTATGACATAATATCATAATCTAGGATAGGAACTGGCCATTGTTGATACATGGAAAAAATTGTTGGTACTCCAAATGAGAAGTGCCATACAGCTTGTAGTTTATCAGGAATAACAATTACTTATAAGTTTTTATAAATGAATGAATACATATATGTTACATGCATTTGATTCAAGCTTCAAGTAATCTTACCTTGATTTGATCAAATTCTTCAGCTTTGGAGACTATAGCAAGGATATCACTTTCTGTTTTGTGAGCATCAAACAGTTCATTGAAGGTCTACCAAAGTAAGTGTTATATTTGATTAATATAGAAGATCCAGTAAAATATTTTAAATTAAAAACGTGACTATAAATCACAGATTCTTAAAGAACATTGAGCCCTAGACAATGCAGAGTTATGATGTCTGTGGCATGCTATTCCAAATCACTGCTTATCTACCAGAGATTAAAAAATATTCCTGAAATATAATTTGCTAGAGAAGACCCTTCCTTAGAAGCAAAAAGAGCAATAAAATCAGTTAATGAAACCTACATTAGATATCTAAAATATGTTCAGCATAACATTATGGTCTTGGCTTATTTTCAGCATGGGCACATGGGAATCTACCATTCTCCAAATTTAAGCTGACCATAGAGCATACAAAATTCAGAGAGGAGTAACTAAAAGTATGTAACCTGAAGATTATGGTGAAAATACCACAATATTATTAGTGAAGGCATACAGAAATTCAGGACTGGGAAGAAAAAGATCAGTAAAAGGCCACATAGAATTAAAAACAAAGCTGAAGAAAGGCTACTGTTCCTGAAAGAGAGCTGCAAACAGGCTGCAGATGTAGTTTGGCACCCACACACTACCAGGTAGACTAATGAGAAAGGTTACGTAGGGGACAGAATGGGTGGACGTGCGTAGGTGGTGAACGCAGCAGAGGGCAGGGAAATGTTTTGGGTTGAGGAACCACTGTATCAGAGCTGTGAGGGAATGTATGTTAGAAGACTGAAGAAACCTAAGGTGCTAGACAAATAGTTTATCTGGAGAAAGGCAAGGAAAAGCTAGTAAGCACATGAAAGTGCTTCTAAAACCTGCCATATGCACAAGCACATGTTAAAGAAGTACAAAGCTTAGATTTCATATAGGCCTAGGTTTTCATATTTCTGAAGAAATTTCACTCTATTGATTTCTATTAACACTGTGATTTAAAAACAAACTTAAATACAAAAATAAAAATGAATATAAGAAAAAAATCTAAACTTTCTCTCTGTAAGAATAAAAAAAAGTAAAAATTCATCTTAACCCATCCCCTTCTCTTCAAACTTAAGTCCTTTCCTCATAGGTAATCACTGTTAAGTTTTCCCATGCATTAACATACGTATATACATACATATGCATATAAGCACACATAAAGACATGCATGTGCTCTTTAAAGTATAAATATTATAGTGGCATCTGGTCTTACATAACACTGTTAAAAGCCAACAAGCAAGGCTAAAATTATGTAGCAAAATTAACTTTAAAAATCTCTTAAACTGTCCAAATGGTATAGCTAGGTAGACTAATAATTTTATTAGTTTTTCTAACTCTTCTTTAGTCAGTGTTCATTAATAACCTTTAAATGTTTTTTCAACTTCTTATTCAAGGATATCGTTAAGCCATCACTTTCCACCTAAAAATCACTCAGGCATTCATTCCACAGGTCTTACCAACATGCTCCACTGTTTAGGCTTGGGTGTCTAATGCTTGGGATATACTCATTGAACAGGATGGCATGGGGACTCTTACTATTTAAAGTCTTATTTTTTCTTGTCTTTATTGATTGTATATTATTGAATTCATATGTTAAAAGCATTTTGTTCTATTAACAGCCTTTGTTACTTTGCATTAACCCTATATTTTGACATCTAGAAAGTATCTGCATCTAATAGCAAACATATTATTGTATTTGTTCCACTCAATTTAATACCTCAATGGTGTTGTATTTAATATAGTAGTGGCTGGCGGTTCTACCCAAATCGGTTGAGGAAAAGTATCCAGTTCGCTCCTCGAAACGAATCATTCTAGCTTTGTCTAGTTTTCGTCCAACTTCAATGACCAGCTGTTCTCGATGCTTTGCTAATGACGGGTCCATCTATAGAGACAAAAATATATAAACACTTTAATATTTCTTTAGATATTATTTTTCTTTAGAGAGTTACATATATGTATTTAAGAAAATTAAAAATTTTGTTTTAGTTAGAATAAACTTTTTTATTACAATTTTTAGAGAAGTACATGCTTATAAATTTAGGACATAACTAGAAAATATTTTATTACATTAAATAACCGCAAATTTATTTGGTTTCAATGGAATAAAGTTATAAAATTCACTAAAATTACCAATCTGCATATTATCTTCAGACAGTAGTATTATGGAATCTAAAATTCTTAATTGATGTCATACTCTCTAAGATTTGAAAGATGAGAAATCAGCTATAAGAAAAATATCATTGTCTTCTCCCTCCCACACTTAAATAAACAAGGATTTTAAAATATCAAACCATGTTCTTACTTTATCAATATTTGGAGAAATGATAGTGAGAATGCTTTCCTCTGTCAAAGTAAAACTATACAAAAATAAATGCAAAGTTATCCTTTCAAAGTATGGTTTTAGAGTTCTGGTAGCTTTCATAACTGCTGATAGGAAAAGCCATTTTTCCCCTATAATAATACTAATAGATGCAAAGAGTAAAATAAAGTAATAATAAATTCTGAATAGTTTTCAAACTATTATAGACTTTTTCTAAGCAGAAAGAACATTTATTAACAAATATTCTTGTTAGAATATGATGCGTGTGTGAGTATATGTATGTACATACACGCACGCACGCAAGCCAGGTCCTAAAGATCACTCACTGGTCATGAGCAATGAAGTGGAATATGGCCTTTAAAGAGACGAGGGGAGAGTATACAGCTAAAATAAATTTAAAAATCAGAAAAATGAGGCAAAGAAAATGAACTGTAGGGAAGTAAGATAAAGCCAAGAATCATATTAGCAAATATAAAGTCTTAAATATTTGCTACAAGTGATGCACTGCATGTGTCAGGTTCATCTTATGAAAACATTTATTAATCACAAAGTACTAAACCATGAAAAATATGTTAAACTGCATGATCTGTGTTATTTCACATGGGTATTGTGGTTACAAATTCATATTAAGTAATAAAATGAAAACATATAAGTTAAAAAAAGAAAGAAAGGGGAGATTCTCTGAACTGTGAAGGTAGTAAAACCATGCACTTGAGAAGGAAAAAAAAAATTGCTTTCATTATACTGGAAAATTATACAAAAATTACTTCTGATATTAACCTAGTACTTAAAAATAAATTGATGTGCTTGTCTTGTGTCAAGAACTGAGATGGCTTAGCCCATGAAAATACATGTTGTGTTTTGTTTTCTTTTACCTCTTCAGTATATTTTCATAGTGTCACTCACTATTTTCACAAAGACCATTTTGTAATGAGAATAGCTAGAGTCATATTCTTTAAAATTTTTAAGGTTTATAGGCTACAATGCACCTACATTTTATAACTGAGAACAATTTGGCTGTAAAGGAAGATATCCAATTGAAGAATAGTGTGTATTTTAACTGAGAGGAATGGTAGTTGAATCCCAATTACAGTCAACCTAAGTATAAAAACTTAATGATTTCAGATTAGCAGCTTCAGAACTAGTTGTTGCTGCTATTTTTCTTATATTTTTCCTTCTAAGTCTTAAGTTTCAATTTTCCCATGGTCAAATGTACTGTACAGGAAAAGAAAAATTAAAATTAAAAAAAAAAGATTGGCAACTGCTTTGATAACAACAGAATATAGATAAAAAGCAAGTTATTAGTTAATGCAGTAAAACTGTAATTCTAAGTTAAATTCAGTTTCTTTGCTAATTTTGACTTAACACTAGTGAATAACCCATATGATGATGGTGAAATAATGTTTTCATTAGAGAACAACTGGATTCTATCTGTAATTAGGAAGCATTTACAGTGTATAAAGCAGAGTTCTAAAGAAAAGACAAGCTCTCACAAAATCTGCAAGCCATGTGGACCACACAACTGCAGAGCTCATAGGAATAGCTGCTACCACATGCATCTCACTCTCAGTCTATGTGTACAGAACTGATCACAGCCTCCACACTATTAAGATAATAACTCATCAATGCCATCTTTTAATTTAGGAATACGGGCTTAGAGGAACTGGATAAGAAAACAGATTGCCTATTATTAAGAGTGGTCTATAAGTTCCCTCATGTCTGGAGTATTCAAAAAACTAAATATATCTTAGCTTAAAAAAAAAAATGACAGCAAAATATTAGTATCAAATGGAAATATATCTGAATAATAAATTGATAATAATATAAAGATTAACTTATTAGTGTCAGTGTGAAAAGAGATACTATAAATGAAGTGAAATAATTGCAGGGGCCAAATTTAATTTTCCTTAGTATTTTCTAAAAACAATTACAGCTCTTTGTTTTTCTTCCAGCTACCTCTTTTCAGATGAGGCAGAAATAGCAAATATTTATCCTCATACCATGTAAAGATTACAAAACTAAAAAGAAGGTTTGATTTCTTTTTTTTACAAATGAGTTTCCTACCTGATAAGCCTTGTGACTGATGCCATATACTAATGGATTTGCTCTCATCCGTACATAAAGATAAGTGTAACTTATCCACTTCACTGCTTCTTCCACATTAGTAACTGTTCCCAGAGCAATCTGCAAGTCAAAAATATAACAAAACTTAAACTAATCCATTAAAGTCAAATATAAATGTTACATCAAAGACCATTTTGTCAAAAGTTAAGTTTTAACTTCACTTTATCATTATCCTGTAATTAAGAGGAATAGCACAGTTACTGGACATGACACTTCTCCAATTAATTAAAAATCATCCCTGCCCCATTTAATTGGGAACAGTACCTTAGAAATGTTATTTTTCAAAACTGAACGTACTCGACATTATGGCATTTGATTATTTTTCCATAAGCGAAGCTTAATTCTGTAGAGCATTAAAAACATTCTGCTATTCAGTTTTCTTCTGGCTTCCTTTTTCTTTTGTCTTCATTTTACGTGATCACACTACTGAAATTTTAAATCTAGGTGCACCACAATGAAAACACATAATTGCTAAAATATCCCTCTGTATTGTGATTTTTGTGTACTGTCCTTACCCAAACAACAGAGAGCTTGACAGTAGCTTTTACATCTAAAGAGACCCATTTGCAGGATGGCTAGCAGAAATACACAATATAAATGCAAGAGAAAATGCAATCATTTCTACAATAACAAAGCAGATTGTTTGGGGATTTATACATATGATAATACATACACTTAAAAAAAATTCATACAAGAATGGGGAATGGTTTTCATTTTTTATTGGTAAACTTAAAACAACCTATAAAAAAAGTAGATATTTATACATTTGAATTATAATGACCACTGGATAATTCTTTAGATTATACTGTGAAAGGGAATACAATTTTAATATAGCATTTTAATGTAGCTGTACTAATTTAATAAAAACAAAAGTTAAATTAAAAACACAACAACAACACATAAGTCCTACATAATATAGAGAATGGAACTGTTAGAAAATGCTCTTAACACAGAATGACAATGAAATTTCCTTAAAAATACATTTCCTTAGCCCATAGGTAGTCATTTTGCTGTTACTTATATTTTTAATATAAAAATTCATCCAAGTTGTAAAACTTCATAGTTGTATAGGTTTTCCTGAGTATGTAGTTGAAAAAAAAATTTTAACCTCTTAATACTTTAACCAAAGGAGTAGAGATGCTCCCTACCTAAATTATTAAATTTTAGAAGGAAAAAAACCCTCTCATTTTAGTACTGAACATTAAAGAAAATAAAAACCTTTGTTTCATTCCCATATTATAATTTTAAATTCTTTGTAACTAATTTTGTGAAATAAATATGTACATGCTTAGCTATCTTTTATTAGCTGAAGAGGAGCTATAGCAATATACAAATATCATTATAATGTAAATCATACTACACCATTAAATAGATAAGTGACCAAAAATAAAAAATAAAACTCGATAAGGTAGACTCTGATTATTGGCTTTTAAATGTACACTAACTTAAAATAAGTCAGACAAAGAAAGATAAATATTGTATGATCTCACTTATATGTAGAATCTAAAAACATAAAACTCATAGAAACAGAGAGTAGAATGACGGTTGCCAGGGGCTGGGGGAAGCAGGAGATGAGAAGATGGTCAAAGTGTAGAAACTTTCAGGGATAACATGAATAAGTTCTGGGGATCTAATGTACAGCAGGATGCCTATGGTTAATACTGCATCGTGTACTTGAAAGTTGTTATGAAAGCTGAGCTTTAATGTTCTCACCAAACAACAAAATGGTCATTATGTGAGGTAAAGAACGTGTTTACTAACTATTGTGGTAAAATTTCAAAATATATACATGTATCAATTTATCACACTGAACACCTTAAACTTACACAATGTCATATGTCAATTGTCCATAAAACTGGAAAAAATAAATTATCACTAACGTATTTACAAATGACTAAAATAGAGGTAAATACATAAATTTCCTAAAGTGTAAACTGTAAGGTTTTCCACAAAATAAAGAGAAAAAAACCCCCTACAATTTAGCCAATGAGTAAGCTGTACAACACTTCCCAAATACAGTTAAACATTTTCTACTCTGCTTAGGTAAAGAACACTAGTTTAATAGTGTCACTCATTTGTGATTCTATTATTTGACAGCTAAAATTGTGTTAATTCCCTTATGACATAGACGTATTTTAAAATAATATCATGCAACTATTAAGAGTAAAAAATTTTACTCTTATAAAATTTTACAAAAAATTTTATAATAAATCTTGCTATTATTTTCAAAATCAGACTCAATAAATTAACATTAATAATTATCTATTGCCACTAATGATAAGAAAAAAAAGGAGGAGGTAGGTATCAAAGATTGGTTCAAGTAGTGCAAGTCTTCTAAATGTTCACCAAAACCCAAAAAGACTACCTAGGAAATTGAATAGAAATTTATGATGGTTCATCATATTTTGAGATTAATCCTAGAATGCCACCTAGTGACAAAAATTAAAATTTACCTGTAAATATTTGCTGTCACCTAGTGGCTACTTAGTATAGGAGCCTTTTATAAAATAAGCATTTTTTACAGTTTTCCTTTGAAATGTATCCATTCATGTCAATAATCATATAGTAAGTCAGTACAAGGCTGCAGACTGCACTACATAAAGCACAACGGACACTGCAACAAATAGAGCATGGTTCATGCTCTCAAAAAGTTCTCTAATCTTGTTGATGAGGGACATGTAAGTAACTGAGATGACATGCGAAACCACACTATAGTGTCTAGCACATTCAAAAATTCTTTTAAAGAAAAACACCTAACATGTGAAATGCATAAAAGAGCTATTAGCATATAGTGTAATAGAGCTTTAAACTCTGTCACATAAAAGTGGAAAAAAAATCCACTCCAAATTTGGTAATTTAGAAGTAAGACTTAAGGTATTACTTTATATCTAATTTACCTATTTAAACTTTAGTCGCTAAAGTTATCTTAACTGCTTATTTGTATATTTTTATTAATTGGTTGAAATCATATAAAAACTAAGGAAATATAATCATCATAAGCATATGTATATATGGACACTCCTACTAAAGGAGTTTTGATACATACATATATATGAAAAAAACATTTATGCTACCATTCATTCATTTATTTATTCAACTAAAATGTGAGTGCTGGCAGTAAGTATAAATGGGGCTGAGTATGAAGCGATTATCAGCTAATGGTGACACAATCTTTTACCGAGTACCAACCTGGCACAGGCATTTGCTAAATTTTCACAACAATCTATTATCCTTATTTTATAAACAGCAAAATTAGGATTTATAGATGAAGTGAGTAGAGCAGGAGCCTGTTTAGGGCAGAAATCTGTGTTGGAGAGTAACTGGAGCCAGAACTGGGATGGTTCGTCAGACTGCGGAGGCCTTAATTCAAGGACAAGGTGTTCCTACTAGGCCCTGTAGAGACGGAAGGGGCTCTGTATAAAGAGTGTATGTATGGTTATATAGAAAGATTAAACACATTTTAAAGTATGGACTACAGAGGACTGGCACAGAGCAGGTACCCAGTAATGTCTGCTGAATAAATTTTAATAAGCCTCAAACTTGCTTCAGGTTTTCTCTCAGTGCAAAATTAAGCAGCTTTGTACGGGTCTGGGATTAGTGACCTTTGGGCATTAGCATTAGAGAGTCAGCCCCATTAGGCATCAATCGGCAAAGAGGCCTCATAAATGTTTGCATTAAAATTAATATAATACTTTCTCCAGTTCTTCTAAACTAATGGTTAGAATTGATATTCATGTTATCAAAGATATTAGGAGGAGCAACATTCCTGATCTAACATGACCTTTATGTTGATCACCGCCACTGTATAGTCCTGCAAAGATTTCAGGACTCTAAAGACTTAAAAATCCATTACCCCAAGGACACAGCACACATTCCTTTTATAAACTAATTTCGCACTTGATGTCCACAGATTACCAAATTTAATTTCACACTCAAATACAATTTAAGGGAGTTTGTTTCCTTAAGGAGAAATTTTACTTTAATTTGGAGCCATTTCAGTAGACCAAAATATGAGAAAGAAATTTTGTACATAGAAAGGAATGGCTATACTTCACTGTATTAGCTAAAACTTTCAAGGTATATGTTTCATTATCTGAGTGCCATTTATGGAATTAAAATGAACTAATGGTTAGAGTTGACATTTCTGAAAATGAAATACCTAACAAATACTCTGTGAATATAAGGTGAATCTATGGAATACAACTGATTTTAATTTTTGACCAAATAGTTCCTGAGAAAAAGAGTTCCTTGAGGACAGGAGCAGTATTTTACTCCTTTTGCATCTTCTGCATAATAACATCACCACATTGTGTTTACTTTACCACTTACAAAAAGCTATCAAAGATAGTAATTTTAAGTTTATGAAGATATTGTTTTCCTTGATATGCTTTTCTAGAAAAATTCCATAAAAGAGCCTTCGTTTTTATGGTAAGTCAGAGAAATTATGACTACCAATTTAGAAAATGTTTATTCCTGGTCTTAGAAGAAGGCAAATGGTCAGTACTAATATAATATATTCACCTTTAACTTACTACATTTAATACAACAGACATCTAGGCTATAATGAAGAGACTAGGTCTGAAGTTACATAGACCTGAGTTTGAATACTAGTTCCAAAAATTAGTAGCTGAATGATCTTTGGGTCAGTTGCATATTTCTCTGAGGACAATCCTACCTACTTAGTAAGAACATTGAGAAAGTGATAGAATATACAAAAAGCACTCAACAGAGTCTCTAGCAGTTAGCAGGCCATCAATTGACTGCTACTATTACTGTCTGTGTACAATCAACTATTCCATCATAGATACTGTTTACCTAAGACCAAAGACCTAATTATTTAAACCATGCAATCATAGTGGTTAATGAAGACTGAAATTGAGCTATATTACTTTCTTTGATGGCAAAATTTATTTCTGAGTCTTCTCTATTTTCTTCTAATTATGCTATTAGAAACCAGCATCTTTCAAGACTTTTTGTAACTTCCAATCAGATCTTCCAAACCTTATTTTTCCTTCTGAACCCAGATCGAGTATTACCGTCTTAATGAGCAAAGCCTTTCCTGATAGGCTGGGGCCAAAAGTACTTTTGCCTTCTACTGAATCCTTCCAGAGAATTTATCACTTCCCAACATTGCACTGTGGTTTTGGGGATTTTCTTTTTGTATCCCTTTCTCCCCTTTGGACTCTATGCTCCTTAACAGAGGGGACTGCAGAGTGATCATGGTTTTCAACCTCTAATAAGACTTGTAAATAACATCAATAGAACGTTAGTGAAATTTCTATAATGTGTTTAAGAAGTACCTGGGATAGGACTTGTACACAAGTAATATTTGATAGTAAATATTTCATTTATTCATCTCTTTAATATTTATATCCCTCTTACTTTCAAAAATAATTTGAGTTAACTTTAAAAGTAAAAATGGACAGTGAAGTAGGAAGTGCTGAATGCTAGAGCAGTAATTAAAAATGTCATGAAAACCGTTAAACCTCATTTGAATGTCTGACACATAGACTCTTAAATTAAGAATGTTTATCCATTTTACCAGTAAGATGTTTACCAGTTAACTAGGTGTCCAGAGCCTGCTATTTAAATCTTAACACAAAACACACATACACACATGGAACATTATAATAGTAGAGCAATCATATTTTGTGTAACAAAGTTAATCAAATGATCTAAGATAAAGCTTTATAAACCTTGTAAAAACTTAAACAATACTTCGTAAAACAACTTGTAAAAGTATAACACAAATATAGTAGTTGTAATTGCTATTTGTTTCCTTAGTTTGTATAGCTTTGGTTAGATTTCTGCCCTATAGCAAAATTTACAAGTATACAAGTAATTTACAAGTATACAAAATTTACAAGTAATTTACAAGTATATAGTCTTTTAGCAATGAGTCCCTACCAGTTATCATTTGCATTCTGTACTGCCCTGAACTAATCAACAATATTGCCATTCAGTTTGCTGTGTTTTACGACTGTGTAATGGCATAAGCTATCGCCCTAAGTATTTCAAAGCAGCAACCAACTCAACTTTTATTTTACTTAGTCATTCTTGCAGCTAATAATCCTTTGCCAATCTTTTACTCATTAATCTTACCTCTGCATTTAGGTTATCTGCAAGGCTTTCCAAAAACTGACTCTCAATTGGGTTTTGTTGAGTGAGCAAAGTGAGGTAATGGCTGAGTTTATCATGTGTTGTTATGATGATTCCTTCCCCAAATTTGTCAAATTGTGGTCTTCCAGCTCGACCAAATATCTGCATGACATCTAATATTCCAAGGTCAACAAAGGAGCCTCTTTTTGCAGCATATATTTGTGTTCCCTAGGTGAGGAAAAGTTAATAAAAATTTACATAACCACACACAAATATAATCCTGATGAGCTCAATACTGAAATTAGGCAAATATGGCAAGATCTCAAAAGTGTACTTTAACTAATCCTTTCATCATCTGTGACAGAGTTAAATTTTCACAATATAAACTAGATTCTTTTGGAGAAAATAATTCTGGCCTTATATAAATAACATTCAAAGTCAGTGAAGCAGCCAAATCACAATAGTTTTCTAAATAAATTAATCCATAGGTTTGTTTTAAGACACCACAAATCCATGTGCAAAGGAAAGTAAGCTCTTACCTTAATAATAACAGCATGGGCAGGAAGATTGACACCCCAGGCTAACGTGGCCGTACAGACTAGGACTTTGATATGCCCATTAGAAAATAAGTTTTCAACCAAATTTCTGTCCTGCCGAAGCATTCCTGCATGATGAATACTAAAACCATCTGGGAATAATTCTCGCACTTGCCTATTTCTTGACTTTTGCACCTAGAGTAGATGTAAACAAAATATAAAAGTTTTTAGCATTTAAAAGGGATTGCTATTTAGCTTTTCTGTTGAATGAGTTTATCAAAGAGCATAAAATTATTTTTAAGCATCTTAAGGTCTTACTAAGTATTAGTATGTAATGCTTTTTAGACAAAATTATCAAAAATTATATTTCATCTACTTTTAAAAACAGGTAATTCCGAACATGACACAAAATCCAAAAGAAAGAAGTTAAAAGCAAGTGTCTTTTTTATGCAGGTATCCTGTTCTTGGAATCAATCAGTATTACCTATTTCCTATCCTTCCAAACACACTCTATTAAAATAAGCATAAATCTCAGTGGCTTCCACCTAATTTAGAGTAAAGACCAGAGTCCTTACAATGTAAGGCCTACAGAAATCACTCCCATCCACTAATCTTATACTTAATCAGCCAGCCACAAGGGCCAACTTCTCTCTGTCCCCTTTCTAACAAATCCACACTCAGCTCAGGCTAACACTCTCCATTCCAGACCCAGTGCCGTGGAAGCCTTGTTGTTGAGACACCACATGGTTCCGCTTGGCATGAACTCTTCACAGCAATGAACTAACAGACTTACTGTGCTCACCTACAGTTGTGTTCCTGGTGCTCTTTGATGGGAAGGCACTGACACCTGTCTTAGCTCAACTTTATATCTGCCCTGAATATACTAACTTCTCTTCTGATGTCTGTTCTTTGACCTGCTCTGAGCTCATATGTGGGATTTGGTCCACTTATCCTCAGTCTGTATAAGTGCTAAAGTAGATTTTACAAAACCCACTGAAGACTCACTACACAATGGGAGGAAATTTACAAAACTAAAGACTTTAGATTAACACAAGTGTTTATATAGTCAACACTTTTGTCTGGGCATCACATCCTGGGTGTATTTGCTATTACTCTGAATTTTTTATTACAAACATTTCAATAGCTTCTTTTGAAACACTTTTCCATAGTTTTTATGTAAGGGACACTACATGGGCAGGGAATGGGATTTCAGGGGTCTAGGGTTCTAATGCAGGCTTTGTCACATTGATTATCTCTAAGGTCACTTAAAATTTTAACTTTCTACGTTAATAACAATGAACTGAGAATATAATCTAAGAAAATAGCACTCCATGAAATCTGCTTCAAGTATAAAATGGATGGTAATACATTAACAAATCCCACCATCTAGTGGCCAGCCAAGTAAATAACAACTTATACATTTTGAGATAGACAACTACCAAACAAAATACACATATGCACAAAAGACTATCTTCTTCAAGTTTCAAGAGTATATTCTTATTTCAGTTTTGTGCATAGTGGTCAGCCTCTTAGAAATCAAATTATACATACACTTTATGATGAACTACATTTGTATCATATTGCTACAACCTTCATCTTTTCAGACATGAGTTAGTGTCATTGTCAAGCTCATGAACATGGAAGACTTGGGACAAAGTCTGTTGTGGAGTATTTGCTAGAATATAACAGAGGTCCTTCCTGGTCAAGGGTAGGGGGAGAATTAGTAAAGGTGGTAGTCTTGAAAAATCAATATTTTAAAGTCTTCTTAAATATAAATAATAACTTGTTAGATAGCAAAAGTGACAAAAATATAACATTGGTAACAACCACCAAAAACAGAAAGAAGAACTAGGTAGCACCTACGTGAAAAAAGCATTAAAATACTGCTAAAGAACACTCAAAAAACGAAATTATATACTTTGCTTTTAAGATGGAAAAACTTGATTTGGTAAACATATCAGTTCTCACTAACTTAATCTGTAAAATCAGTGCACCTAACTTAACCAAAAATGAACATAATTTCTCGGAGGTGAGACTAAAGTTGATCTTGAAAAGTAAATCTGTATATTCATCTAGCAAAAATTCAAAATTGAAAAATAATCAGGATGATTATCTGAACCACATGTTAAAAATACTATAAAAAAGAGAATAAGTAAAACAGTTTGATACCAGAGGAGAAACACTAGGACCCATGAACTAGAAGATAAAGCCCAGAAATTGACTCAGGCAAATAAAAATATGTGTATGCTATATTAAACTTTAAAATCAATAAAATACAGGGAATATTCAGAAAAAGATGATGGGTCCATTATTATATGGAACACGTTTTGGACAGATTAAAGATTTAATAATAAAAACTAAATTAAATTTTAAAAAAGTTGGAGGAAATCATGGATGAGGTAGGGTAGCCTTTATAAGCAAGACAAAGCCCAGAGACTATAAATAAGTTGATAAAAACTTCAGCATGGTAAAAATATATATAAACAAATAAAAATCAAAACCAAAAGTTAACAGCCCACTAGGTGTGGTTCAGTGGTTGAAAGTCGACCCAGGAATCAGGAGGTCATAGTTTAATTCCCAGTCAGGGCACATGCCCAGTTTCGGGCTCGATCCCCAGTGGAGGACGTGCAGGAAGCAGCCCATCGATGATTGTCTCATCATTGATGTTTCTCTCTCTCTCTCTCTCCCTTCCTCTCTCTGAAATCAATAAAAACATATTTAAAAAACAACAAAAACTCATAAATACACAAAAAAAACAAAAGTTAACAAGAAAAAATATCTGTAACACATATGACAGTGCATGCAATTTAATACACAATGGGCCAAGGATATGAATGTGCAATTTATAGGAAAAAAATTCAAATGGCCAGCCAATATGCAAAGTGTTCAGTTTCATTCATAAAGAAATGCCAGTTAAAAGAATAATGAAGTATCATTTTTTCTGCCTATTAATCAATGTGTCATAAACTTAAAAAGTTTGACACTGCCCAGTGCTGACAATTATGTAATTTCCTGTTATAGTTTGAGAAAGTGTAAATTGGAACCATCTCCCTAGTGGGCATCACCAAAATTTTATTTTTATTATTTTTTTAAATTGGATTTATTGGGGTAACACTGGTTCACAAAACCATACAGGTTTCAAGTGTACAACTCAACAAAACATCATCTGCACACTGCACTGTGCCTATCGCCCCAAGCGAAGTCTTTCTTCATCCCCATTTCATCCCCTTTGCCCACCTACACCTACCGTCTACCTCCCTTTCCCTCTGGCTGTCATGATATTGTTGTCTGTGTCTATGTGTTATATATATATGTATATTTTGCTTAATCCCTTCACCTTCTTTCACTGAGCCCTCCAATCCCCTCCTTTCTGACAGCTGTCAGTCTATTCCATGTATCCATGCCTCTGTTTCTATTTTTGTTCATTTGATTCCACATATAAGTGAGATCATATGGTACTCGTCTTTCTCTGACTGGCTTATTTCACTTAGCACAATAATCTCCAGTTCCATCCATGCTGTCGCAAAATGTAAAATTTCCTTCTCTTTTATGGCAGCACAGTATTCCATATTTATCCACTTATCCACTTGATGGGCACTTGGGCTGTTTCCAAATCTTGGATATTGTAAATAATGCTGCTATGAACATAGGGGTGGACATATTCTTTCAAATTAGTGTTTCGGGTTTCTTCAGATATATTCCCAGAAATGGAATAGCTGGGTCATAAGACAGATTCAGTTTTAATTCTTTGAGGGAACTCCATCCATTCACCAAAATTTTAAATGCATGTACCATGTTGATGTATAAATTCCACTGCTAGATATTTTCCCAATGGGCATCCTTGTAACTCTGGAGTATGAGCAAGAATGTTTACTGCAGCACTTTTAACAATAAAAAAATGGGAAACAATGAAAGTATTCATCAAGATGGAACTGGGTAAAAGAATTATGATAATGTCCACACTGTAGCATACAATGTAATTGTTAAAAGAAGTTGTTTTTAGGACCAAATCTTTCTGTGTTGATTTGGAAAGATCTTCTTGACATATTATTAAGTCAAAGGAGCAAGAGACATAAAAGTATGTCTAACACTATCCAATTTGTTCACACTAAACTCACATGCAAACATATATATTGGCAGTTGTACAAAATCTTCCCGTAAAAGAAATATAAACTTAAGAAGCTTTCTAACAGGAGTTACATTTGGAGAAATGAATGGAGAAGAGATGGTTAAGACCATGACTTATGAAACTAAATTTATTACAAGACACCTGATGCTTTCTGAAGTATCCAAAAAATCACTGTTTTCTACCTGGTTTCCCAGGGTGAGCTTTACCTGGAATCCAGGCTTTGCTATTCTCTGAACAGCTGCAGAGATATAATTCATCTTGTTCACATTCTCTGAACAGAGCATTGGATCCTCTAAGGAGGCCATTCAAGATCCAATACTATACTCACTGGATAAGTGTTTCTACACATGGAAATTCAGCACAAAAGAACACCAGCTGTGAAAAGTAAAGGGAGTCAGGTAGTGTAGTTTAAGAACTGTCTAAGGTTGGTTTTCTCTGGCTTTATATTTCTACTTTTCACAAGTGCACTTCCCATGTAAGGTGTTTTAGTCAGTCAAACTAGAATGGAATGCACAACTGCTAAGATAATCCATTAGCACACAGAAGGTTCTACATTCGTTCCTCCCTGTGCAAGTATGCAGGGCTTCCTCCCATGACTTCCCATATCGTTTTCCTACCCATGGGATGGAAAATCAATGCGAGTACTTGTAAAAGCGAATAAAGTTAAAATGTAACCACTTCCAAAAGTTAACTTCTAAACTAACACAATACATGATTGAAAAACTTGGTAGAAAAGACTGAAAACAAGTAACTGAGGATATTAAAGGAGAACAAATTTGTTTTTTTCCACATAAGACCAAAATATATAAAGAAGCAACACGAGACCTTCAGCTCAGATACAGACGAATGAAAGAACATGACGAAGTTGCATAAATTATTTACAGTAACTTTTATAAGTCTCCCGAGGTAATTTATCTTGATAAGGTATGCTTCAATGTGGGTAATTTCAAATCCATTAGGAAAAAATAACTGCCATTATAAAACCTAAAATTTAACTAGGGGGAGGCAAATATTTTCTCCCAAATGATACCATTCTTTCCCACAATTATTAGTTAGTATGCTTTAT